ACCGCTCATACGAAATTAAGCAGACTTGGAGATACTTAAAAATTAAAATACTTTCTTTCCATATGACTGTTTTGCGTATCTCCCCTCCCCATGTGGTAATTTTAACACTACATTCCTTGTTTTTCTTAAATAAACAAATACTTCGCAGGTTCTGTTTTGAGTATTTAACCATATTTTGTAAGCTCTCTGGGTTTTCCCACAGAAATGCTCTTTAGTGAAATAGGATTTTTTTTCTGAAGAGATTATTAGGTGACCATCACCACCACCAGCAAACACTGAGGTGCTGCATTAAGTGACAATCAAAATAGTAAGTATGTATGGAAGAATGTAGAGAGGTTCAAAGAAGCAATTGCTTTGAAAGCAGTTCTCTGAGTTTCTTGAATAAAAAAATGGCTACATGTATTTATTTATGTTTTTAAGTATCTGTGTTGTCTCATCAAAGTGATTTCAGTGTGTTGTATTTAATTTGTGGTTTTGCTGTTCAGCATAAACTTTAGAGAACCTGGTGCAGCCTTTAGCCCTCCTGATGTGACTCTTCATGGGCATAAGACCTGTTTACTTCAGGATAGCAGTGGAGGGCCTGGGCCAAATGCCCCTGCATATCCCTCCTACTCTCAAGTTACTTCAGAAAAATAAATAAAGGTAACTCCTTTCAAATCTTCTTCATAAAGCTCTAACATTTTTCTAGTTTCACTTGTTGCCTTTTCTAGTTTATGGGCACTTTTTATATGACTTCCCCAACATAGCCAAAGGCCAGTATCACGGAACCAGTGGCCCTCTTTGCCTCAACTTCACCCCGTTTGCCCATGTTGGGAAATGTTAGTAAAACGATCAGCAGCTTCTAATGGCTGTCATTATCTTATCCATATTAAAGTTTATTAAAGTCCTTAAATACAGGTGGAACATATACACACTGCAAACTTCTGAAACATTGTAAAAATAAAAAAAGCTCCATACACAGCACTGTCCAATAGAGCAGCAGTGTTTGAACATCCAAAGCCTAGACCTCTGAAATACTTCTTGCCAGTATGCTAAAACGCAATATGACACTTTAGGGCTCCCAGGGAAGCTCTCAAGTCCCACAAGCCAGGGCACACTGTTTAGCTTTTGAGATCTCTTACAAGTTGCCATCAGTTCCAACTAATGGTGACCCCATGTGTGTCAGAGTAGTACTGTACTCTGTAGGGTTTTCAGTGGCTGTTTCTTTGGAAGTCAATTGCCAGGCCTTTCTTCTTAGGTGCCTCTGAGTTAACTTGAACCTCCAACCTTTCTCTTAGCAGCCCAGTGTTAACTGCACCACCCAGTGACTCCCTTAGAGAACGGTAACTAAACCACGTCTACCACAAGTTAGATTTAATGATGTAAAAACTGTTGCTCAACTCTGAGGGTTAAACTGAAGATGTGATATTTTCAAATGCATGCTTTTACTTTTAAATTTCTGAGGAAACAAACTGTGACATTGCTTAATAAAACAACATTCAAATGTTCTATGATGTGTGTGTGAGTTGGCCTGTATTGGTGCAGGTTCACTGCTGGTAATGGGCTGTGCCAGAACTAAGCAGTTAAAATGTAGGAAAAGCTGTGTAACTTCTAACTGATGTTATGTAATTAGACAATCACCTGCAAGCAAAAATGGCCAGGAAATTTTTTTGCTATAGAAAAAAAAAAAAGCTATAGTTACACTATTCTAGATTTATTTTAAAATATATTTTACTGAGGTAAAACTTGGGGAATAGACCTCAGTATGCCACTTTCACATTCACTTTATGTAAATAGACAATCACCTGCAAGCAAAAATGGCCAGGAAATTTTAAAAAAAAAAAAAAAAAAAAAAGCTATAGTTACACTATTCTAGATTTATTTTAAAATATATTTTACTGAGGTAAAACTTGGGGAATAGACCTCAGTATGCCACTTTCACATTCACTTTATGTAAAGACTGAAGCCCAAAGACAAGTTTAATTCAGTGCTGTATTAAAACCAGTTAGTGCAAATATATATATCTTTGTAAATTTTCAATTGTTGACATTATTTGGTAGTTGTAAAAATATGCACCAGATTTTAATGTTCTGTGTGGTTCTTAGTGTGTTGCTCTTGACATTGCTGTCCTTACTGCTTGGTTCTTGGTTTTAAATAAAAAGTAGATGAAGCTTGTCATTCTTATTGCCAAAAAAGGTAGCACTATAAATGGCTAACTGATCTTGAGATAAGAATGTTATTTTATAAAGAAAACATTTAATTGGAATCCAAAGTAATTTATCAAAATGAGACCAACACATTTCCCGGGTAGTTATCTTCTGCCAAAACTGCACAGAAGCCATGAGGGATAAGAAATGGTTTTAGCGGTGCTATATTAGGATCTCTGCTGACTTTCATTAGCTTCACAAGGAGCCCTGGAGGCACAGTGGTTAAGTGCTTGGCTGCTAATTGAAAGGTTGGCGGTTCAAACCCACCAACTTCTCCACTGGAGAAAGATGTGGCAACAGTCTGCTTCCATAAAGATTTACAGCCTTAGAAACCCTATGGGACAATTCTCTGTCCTACAGGGTCTGTCCTACAGAATGGACCCTTTGGCAGTGGGTATATTTGGAAATACAACATTGTATAATATATGTGGATCATTTTGTTACCAATATTTCCATTTTAATTTGGTTATACTTGTTTTTGCTTTTCAAAGCTATTCTTTAAAGAAAGTTAAAATGTGTTTGAGCCTGCCTCTACTCAGGCCTCTTGCTGTATGATCATTTTTCCAGGTGGTGATGTGCGTACCTTTTTATAACTATGTGTACTATTATAATGCTTTGGCCCATAGATTCTTGTTATGTATTTTAGAATCTAAAATTATGGCAGAAGAGCCAAGCAGTAGCATTTTTTCCATAAATGTAAAAATTAGATCCAGCCTTTGTTTCCTTATTCAACTTTAAAAATAAAAATACCTCAGTACTATGTTTTTCAGTATCATCTGCATTTTTTAAAAATTAACACTTAAGAATTAAGAATCACTTAAGAATCACATTATTCTGGCTTTTAAAACAACACTATTAAATATTTCATGATCACTGTCAGTGACATTATCATTTTATTTAACATGAGCGATTTTTACCTTGGCACTTAGGTCTGAGCTCCCAGATTCTCTCAGAGTAGTTACGTCCTGCTACAAGAGTGTTATGCCTCAGAAAGCCATGCGGTCATTCGCATATTCTACTAGTACTGGGACTAGGCTGCCTGAACTATCAAGTTTGGGGTCTGGTAGTGCCAGCTACTCTCTAACAAGGGAGTTGTTCTTTCTTTCCTTGGAAAAGGAGTATTTAGAGATAATTCCTTCTTCACCCTGTGTATAACAGCCTAAAGCCTTGCAGTTCCTGTTAGTTGCCCTCAAGTTGGCCCTGACTCACGCCACAGCCAAACGCAACAGTATCCAGTCAGCTGCAGAGTGGACTGTCATGATCCATAGGTTCTCACTAGCTGATTTTTCGAAAGTAGATTGTCAGGCTTTTCCTCCAAGTCTGTCTTAGGCTTGACACTCTGCTGAAACCTGTTCCACGTCATAGCAACACGCAAGCCTCTGCTGACAGACAGGTGGTGGCTACATGTGAAGTACAATGGCAGAGATGCAGGTCTCCTGCCGGGAAGGCGAGAGTGCTACCACCAGACCACGTGCCTCAACAGGCATTATTTGGAGTATTTAACAGAGGAAAATCCAGATGCAGTCAAGGGACCTAACATGAAATTGCCTTTCAGTGCTTTACCTTAATTCACAGACATTTTGTTTTTCTAACCTGTAATACGTATCATCTTTTAAAGTTTCCAAAGATGACTTTTTTTCTTCATCGTCACTATGTGCTATTGTTTTAGTGCTTCTTAACAAAGAGCCACTTTTGGACCTCTTCACAATAGTGGTTAGCTGTCTTTCCACAACATTACTGCAGAATGGTTGTTGCACTAACAATACTGTATAATTAATTAAGATGCTTTCACAGTTTCTTCAAATTACAAGTCTCTATACATTGTAGACCTTTGCAGAAGCTCAATAACGCCTAAATTTCCCTGGATCTACTTTTACATTCTACACCAGGAACATACAGATGTTTCTATAGAATTGTCCATCCTTTGAGTTGTTGAAAGAGATGGTTAATGGCAGTGTTACTGCTTATGGTTAAATAAAACAGTGCTTAGAGAAAGCTGTTATTGTGCTGCTTGCATGGAGAATAGTTACTTATCAAATTAGAATTTACTTAAATGACAGTCATTACTGAAATTGCTATCATAATGTGAGGTAGCCTTAGCATAATGAATAGTCGACTGCAGGCTCTGGAATTAAACTGCTTGGTTTGACTCTGCTCTACCATGTAACCTTGGGCAAATTCCTCTCTTTTACCTTTTCTTTCAACTGTAAGATAAGGGTAATAATACTGGTACTTATTATCTTACAGAAATGGGACAGTGCTTTAGAACAATGCCTGACTCCAGTTTAGCTACTTTAGGCATATCTCAGCTATTCAATATATCAACTTTAGAAACTGGTCTATAAATATTCATACTGCTACTTTACTTTAATATAACACACAAGGAAAAACAAGCACTGGTCATACCACTTTTATTTACATTGTATCTATGTTACACTGTTACTCAGTATAGAAAAAATATGAATACGTTCATAGTATTCTTTTAATTTAGTAATTCCACATTGTCAAATATTGACTGTTTTTATATTGGGTTTTCTACCCAATTTAAAAAGAGAAGAATGGATCTAGCAAACAGTTCTTCCATCTTGCTATTGATATAATAGTAATATATTTTCTCTCTCTCATTTTTAAAGAACCGAATTTTAAAAAGACTCAAACTGCTTACTGGCTTAAGGAAATGTTTTAGAAGGTAAAAAGTCATTCATTCTTCCCTCAAGAAAAATTGTAAGATAAACATCTTTAAACACCTCAGTGATCCAGGAGAAAATTTATATTCTTTATAAAGGGATCAATGCTGGAAGGAAATCAAGTGGCAGACCCCACTACACAATGGTTCTGCATATACAAAAGAAAAAGGAGACCATATTGACAGAATTATGATGGAGAAAAGAAAAATCCACACTTAGAGATCAGGTTTCTTTTAAAAATCCATGTTGCAAATAGCATCAGTGATTATCTCTTTTGGACCTAATACTCTCATTAAATAGTTCAAACTTACAAATCACTGCTACAAAATACAGTATTTTCTAACACTTATAATGTACACAATGTACAGAAAGACAAGAGTTATCTATCTTCAACTAAATGCAAATGAAAAGCTCGTTAAAAACCAGAATCGGGACTTATAAATAGTGCAGAAAATGCAAACGCCAAAAAAACGATGCCTCCTATGATTGTCACTGGAAGAGAAGAGAAAAAAGTTAAATAAGGCAGAGTTCCTATAGCCTGATATTGTACAACCATCAGGGAACCATGATGTTGCCCATCATGTTCCAATCTAGTTAATTAACCCTGAAAAGTTGTACCACTTTAAACCCTGTTTACACAGCACAGAACACTTCACATGCCTGGCTCTATATAGTAAGAATTAGTTTCTACTGCATCACTGTTCTGAGAAGTGACACTGGAAAAGTGCTGGCAAACAACAATAGAGCTATAACATCTTAAAACCTATTATAAAATGGAATGTTGGACAATTTCTGACTAGCAAAGAGACTCTGTGGCATCACTAGGGGTGTGTGGACTGTACCACATGACACTGTCAGGGTGACATCAAAATGTCTATAAAGTTTTTGTGCAGTGATTCAGCACCAATGTATTATTTTTTATAAAAGTATATTTATGTAAAACAAGCTCTTAAAATAAAAATGTATATATATATATTTCTGTACTTATAACAAAAACATTTTTCATGAGCCCAGTTTACATATACCTACAAGGCTAAAACTCTATGCTAATTTCCTTTTTGAACCTTCTAATGCACTCTAATCAGAGTTGTCATTAACAAATGACAGTGATGCTTTGAATCACGTGGTTTCGTCTGCAAGTGCTACAGGCAGGCACTGCTTTTATTTTCCTTGCTGCCAGGGCTTTCATACTTACTGATTTTGTCAAATTTTCTGGTATTTTAGCTATAATATTGTGGTCATTAGGATTTGTGAACCTGTATCGATGACTTTAAGAATGAAGTAGCAATTAATAGGAGAAAAATAAAAAAGGCTTCCCCTCAGTTACTAATAATGTTGTAATTCAATGTAGAAAGATGTTACAAAAATATTTTGTTTTGTTGTTACTACTATTCATATAATCTAAGAAATATTACATTTAATAAATTTATAATTATATTTATCACATTATGCTATGATTAACATTGATAATTACTAAGGATTCTGTATGGTCTGGTACAGGAAGAGGTCAATGGAGGGGGGGTGACTCCATGAGTTAACCACTCATGGGTAACACTAACCCTAGTGATACCACTAAAGAGACTGTATTTTATTTCATCTTTAGGAACTAACAGTTATTTACAGCTACATGGGAAATTTTCAGCAGAATCAATAAATACGGTCTCCACCTAGGACTTTCCAATCTTTTAGGACATTAGGGCCAAAAATTTCTCTTCCACACAATGACTGATGTATTTTTAATATCCACTGACTGAAAAATATGTTGACAAAAATCTATGAATTCAATAATACTTTTAAATTAGTTTGTATTTTACTAATATCAACACATGAAAAAACAGTATATATTTTGCAAGACTGGGGCAATACAAAGACCTCAGGAATTCTATTTACAAACACTGGACATTCTTTAGAAGTAAAAAATTAAAGCTAATTCTTTTTTTCTAATCTTTCCATGATTCTAAAAAGTTCAAACAAATAGTTTTTGATTTATAATCAAGAGGTGGGGGGAGACTTACCAGTTCTGACAGAGATTTTCTGTGCTATCATTCTTCCTCCAATGACTGCCAGTCCAGTGCATAAGCAGTGTCCCACTGTTCCACCCACTGCGACACCATAGGGATCCTGGAAACAAGCATAACTACCATTAATTTAAAACCAAGGTAGAAACTGCTATTTGAGAAAATGACTGTTAAGAAGCACTGATAATATAAGTCAACAATAAAAAAAAAATTTG